AAAAAAAAAAAAAAAAAAAAAGACCACCTCATAAGGTTGGGGTACCAAGGGAATGAATTAAAGACCTCAGACATCAGTTATCACTAAGAATCTTCTCCACTTTCCTCCACAAATGCCAACATCAGGTCACTGCTGCTTCCTAATGGGAGTAATATCTGATAGTGTCGATGGTCTTTAGAGGTTCCTCCCTCTGAAAATCTTACTATTGAGTTTTCCATATGGGCTCATTGTCCACTGTGGTCCACCAAAGAAAACTCTCCTGTGGGGATGAAGCCCCAGCTCTGCTCAGTCTCGTAGGACTGCATGGGCCAGACGAAGAGATCTGAGTTAATCTCTCCTCAGCTCTATCTTGTGCCTGGATCTGAATCCCACTTGTACCACCTACCAGAGCATGACCCTGGTCAAGTTGTTTAATCTGTTTCCCTGTATGTAAAATGGGCTTATAACAGCACCTATAACCCCACTTCAGGGACTGTTGCAAGGAGTCAATAAATGAATAACCATAAACCACCTAATGGTGCTACAGAATTGGGTGGCACCCACTGCCATGTGTCACTGAGGCTTCCCCCTTCTGTTTATCCCTAGTGTTCTTGTCACATGGGCCGCCCCTCAGATATTGGGCTATGCTCCTTTTCCATCGGACAGATGGGGCTACAGATTCCCAGGTAAGGCCTTTTCTCTATGAGGCTGGGACCAGCTCCCTAACCCTAGACAGGCCACTAAGCAGCTCTTTCCCACAAAGCTGGAGCCACCCTCTGGTTTGGCTTTCCTGGTCACCAGCCATTGGTACAGAGTTAAACCTCTGTAAGGGGCCCTGGATGCACAGAAATCACTGAATATGGGAAAGGTGGTCCTCTGCTTCACAGAAATCTTGAGTTTACCTAGAATCCCATAATCAGAATATTAGACTCCCTGCCTGCTCCCACTCCCTGGTTTAACTGTGAAGGAGGCTGGTGGTAATCCCAGGGCCCAACCAAAGTCCTTCCGCAGAGCCCCCCACAGACACCTCCAGTAAATGCCCTGCCCCAGGCACAGGACAGGGACCATGTAGGGCACTAGTAAAAGGGGCCAAAGGTAAGAGGGTGACCCCAAGGCCACATGCCTGGTATAGGTGTCACAAGCCCCCATCCCCCAACCTGCTGCAGGGCCAAGGGCTGCGCAGAACACCCCAAATGTATCAACTGAAGCACATGCCACCATCTGTAACTCCCACCTCCAAGCAACTTCTGTCTGAGAACCCAGAGACCTGCCCTCTAGCCAGTGATTTTCAACCAGTATGCCATGAGAGGATCTTCAGTGTGCCACAAAAAATTTTAAAGTTCATTATTTTTGAAAGAAGTTCAAAGCACAATCAGTATGATGTTCTTTTTTACTTTTTTTTGATCAACATAATTTAAGTGTGCTCCAGAAGTTTAAGTATAGGTTCAAGTGTTCTGTGTGAGAAAAAGTTTGAAAAACACTGCTCTAGGTCCAACCTGACCAGGCTCCTCGTGAGTCAGAGAAATGGGTTTACTCTGACTGACCCACACTTGTTTCTCTCCCTCTGGCAATGCAGGCCCTGGAGTCAGTTCCCTGAGTCATGCCAACATTTGCTCTCTACCCTCACCACACTTATGCCTTCCCATGCCACAAAATTTCTCCCACCAAACACAAACTCAAGATGTCTCCTCATTGGGGACAGTCACAAGGGAAGAGGGGGACAAGGGTAAGTGCCCTAATCTGCAGGCATTAGTAGGCCTCCCTTCCCACGAGGGCTCCAGGGAGATGGGTTAGCACCAGCCACACATGTATGATGGGCATGGGCAGTTTCTGCACTGGCATCTCCTTCCTGGCCACACTGTAAGGAGGGATTTCCTCTGAGGACAAGTATCAGTCCTGCTCCTAATCACAGGCAGGTGACCTCAGAAAACCTAGCAGCCTTTCTGGCCTCAATTTCATGTATAACATGAGGATATAATTCCAAGAACTATGCATTAAGAGGAAGCCGAGGCCTGCTACTTCCTTGCATGCAATTTTGGGAGACTAAAGCACTCCCAGGCCAAGGGAAGCCACCAGCCCTCTTCCTACATCTCATCTCTGAACCTGACAAGGCCCTATGCTCTGGGCACTCGAGAATCCCCTCCTCTGCCAGGGGTCAAAGGCAAGACAGGGCCTAAGCCCCTTATTCCTTGGAGACTAAAGAAGGGGTTCAGTGACATCCAGTGTCCCCCAGCAGGCCATGGCAAAGTGAAGGGAAGCCTTATGCTACAGACAGGACCTCCAAGGCCTCCCTGATAGGAAGCCAGGCCCAGCCCAGGCATTCACAGGCTCTGTGAGGTAGAAATCTCCAGGGCTAGTACAGCCTCTACCTGCAAGTGGCTGTGACAGCAGCTAGGCCATGTGAGGAGTGTGGGGGCTCAGAAGTCATGGTCTGAGCTGCTCCTCAGTGCCACAGATTGCTTACTTACTATTGGATTCTCTCAAAACAGTGTGTCTTTACCTCTTGCTGCTTTACCAATGTAATATTTAAACCAGTTTAATCCTGTATGTTGTCTCTCTTCTATCCTCCACTTTAAGGGAACAGCAGCCAATGGGTAGAGCCATCCCCCACCCCCACCCCGCCCCATGGCAGGCTCTGCCTCTGGCCAGCACAGCACCTGGAAGCTGCCCTATGCTGACGCCTGATTTGACACCATGTCCTAAGTGCCATGGACACACAGGAGTGAACAACACATAGTGCCAGCTCCCACAGAGTACAAGTTTGCTGTAGAGAAAACAAGGAAGCACACACCTAGGCAGGCTCGGTCTGGGGTGTGCTGAGGGCTATGGATGCTCTAAGCACAAGTGGCTCTTAGAGCCCCAACCCCTCATGAGGTCACCTCGGGAGAGAACAGAGAGGACCCCGACCTTCCCAGAGCCCACAGACAAGTCAGGATAGAAGAAGGTAGCTGGAAGCAAAAGCCAAGAAACAGCAGGGAAACTAGGGTTAGGAAGTGGCCTTCTCAGAGGGTAGGGCACCTTCCCCACCCTCAGGGACAGAAGACAGGACCCCCAGGCCAACATGGAGATACAGCCACGTGAGGCCTGCAGTTACCACAGCACCATTCCCCCGGCCATGTTCTCTGCCCTGGTACATACCGAAGCCAGCAGGAAATGGGGTCAACCAGGGGCAGGGATCTGCCAGGCAACCACATTGGGCATTCACAAGGGAGCAGGACCCTGCAATCTAAGCTGATGAGGAAAAGGGCTGGGTAGGAAGAGGGGATGGGGATGAATAGGCCCAAAGGCACAAGAGACAGGAGGCTAGGTACATAGCTGAGGGAAGTGTGGCCCAGCAGTATTCAGGAAGGAGCAGGCATGTACATGGGAGATGTGCCAGAGTCTAGCTGTCACGTGAGGCCAACTAGTACAGAAGAACAAGAGAGGAACACATGTGTCTTACAAGACTACAATTTGGAAACAAACTGTCATCCTCAGAAGAGTTACCATCTGTCCTTCCCAGACCCAGCACTGGCCACCAGCTCAGCTAAGCAGAAATGAACTTGGGGGAGGTGGAACACAGAGGCTGCTCAGCAGACAGGCTGTCATCACAGTGGTGAAGGAAGACCCCAGATGGCTATGCTGAGCCTGAGATGTCTGCAGTCTCTGCTACTGCAATCCCTCCATGAAAGCTCATGACACACTAAAGACTGCCTGGGGTCCCTGCACTCACCAAGGGCTCTGTAGATGGTCAGGACGGAGGGGCAGCATGACTGATCACAGGGTGAGGTAGGGGGCACCCGGCCAGTTGACCAGCCTCTCAGGGAGCCCTCAAGCCCCAGCTAGATGTCACATGGTGTGTTTCCCAAGGACTGAAGGGACCTCTTCCACTCAAGCCTCTACCCCAGGACCCTCAGGAGACATGGAGAACAGGGCACATCCAGTTCATGCACTGTCCCCTTCCCCTCTGAGTGGCTTTCTGAGCTGTGAATGTATATAGGGCACACATCCTGGTAAGGTCCTCTGGGGAACATCACACCTACATCCCAGCCTCATCCTGGAAGCAACAGCAATATTTCTTGCCAGCCAAAACCCTCCTATTTCTGAAGCCCAGGAAAAATTCCAAGAGCGTCCCTGAGAATCTGGAGAATCAGGCAGGAAGGGCATTATGCAATACAATGAAAACTCACTTAAAACAGGTCTGACCCACCCTAACAGTGTCAAAGCCAGTGATTTTCAACCAATGTGCCGTGGCACACTGGTGTGCTGTGAGAGAATCTCAGGTGTGCTGTGAAATTTTTAAGGATCATTAAATTATTTTTGAAAGACGTTCAAAGCACAGTTAAGTATATCCCTTTTTTTTTAAATCAATATAAGTGTGCTATGGAAGTTTAACTATAGGTTGAAGTATGCCATGAGATAAAAAGGTTGAAAAACACTGGTCAAAGCCTATTTCCTCATTTGTAAAGTGGGGCTAACAGCCCCTCCCTCTCCCTCACAGGTCTGTCATGAGAACCACAAATGCACGTGAAAATATTCTGAAGACTACATGTATAGGCATGTTATTGCAATATGTTTTTCTGTATTTTTATTTATGAGCTGCCCTTCCCTAGGTTGGTGTCACCCAAGACCCAGGCATAGATGAGGCAATAAAACTTCCTGAAACCCTTGAGAATGACGACTCCACCAAGTACCTTGACACAACCAAGACTGTGACATCTTCAAATGGGAAACTATGGGTTTAGTTCAAATTCTTTATTCTTCAGATGAATAAATTGAGGCTCAGAGTTGAAGGGTCAGAGCTGGAACCAGGTCAGATGCCTCCAGAGAAATTTGCCATCTTACGTGCTTCCTGCACTCCAAGAGCTCTCCAGAGGGCTCTGAACTGCCCACCCAGGTCAAAACTCTGCCCACAGGCCTTCCAAGGAGAGCAGGGAAGCCTGAGGAGGACCCTTCTTGCAGAGACAGCCAAATGGGCAGCAAAGCCAGAGGACCAGCTGAGCTTGTAGAATCAGCAAGGCCTTAGCAACAGTCCACAGGCTCCTTGGACCCAGCCAGGTTGTGTGCCAGCTACTGCTTGACCACTAGCCCCTCATGTACGAAAAACATCACAGGCTCCAAGGTGAGAACAGGGATTCATTTTTACATTTCCTAAGAGAAACCTCTAGGTTCTCTAAGGACCTTCCAGCCTATGGAGCTGGAACCAAGAGGAGCCAAGCTGCAGGGACAGAGGTTGGCACTCACTGTCTCTGCAAGCCTGCTCCAAACCCCAGGCCTTCAGCACTTAGATCATAAGAGGGACCAGGTACCAGCTCTGCAGAAAACTTGGTAAAGGCCAAAGTCTGAGCACCTGTGTCAGCACAAACCCCACAAAATTCCATCTCATGCTCACCTGTATAGACGCCAGTGACAATGTCTCCCTCCTCAGGACGGGGGCTATCTGGGACCCACGGTTCTTCCCCTTGTTCCAGCCGGAAGATTAGATCGGGCTTGGGGATTGGGTATCCTGCCCAGAAGAGGGGACGATAGCTGGAGGCAGCTCTGCAAGCCCCACCCCCACTCAACTCATGCCCAGGACTGGCCCTCCCCCCACACTCTGCTCCAGAACAGTCCACACTCCCTCCTCCCTGAGCCTTTCCCACACACCTCCACCTGCAAGAGGTCCCCAGCTCACTCATAGCTTCAGGAAATGTGTGGCATAGACACCAGAGCTAGACACACAACTCCACAGAATGTGTCCTCCTGGCTTGGGGTACAGCTGACCACAGTGGGGTCCCAAAACATCCCCCACCCTCACCCCACCCAGAAGCCAGGTCCTAGGGCTTCCCTAGGAGGTGGGCTAGCCCCAGCATCTACCTTTGCCAAGACCCAGAAGTTTGAGAAGCCCCTTCTCAGACAGCTAAGCTCCTACCAGCCATCACACCAGGTTAACCTCTTAGGGACCTAAGCCTCTTCCTTACCCAAGGACCCCAGGATCCCATAGTTCTCCTGCATGACTTCCTGGTAGAGACTCCGCTGGTCTACATCCAACTTTTCCCACTCTTCCAGGGAGAAGTACACAGCCACATCTTCAAAGGTCACCAGCCCCTGAAAAACACAGTCCCAGACACTGCCCTGAGCTGCTCCACAAGGAAAGCCACAGGACAGTCGCCCAGTGAAAATGGACTAAGGCACTGTAATGTGGGTCTCAGGGGGACACAGAGGCCCAGATATCACTGACAGCTTCCACACCTCACCACAGCCATGGGAAGCAGGGACATGATCCCAGCCAGAGATCAGGGACTCAGGCTCAGAGAAGGTGGTTGACTCAGATCATACCAGGCAAAGCCAGGACTCTCACTGAGGCCAGGAGCTATAAAGCCAGGCCCCAGACCCTCCTACTCCACAGTCTCCCTCAAGCCAAGACTGTGGCCACATTAACACTGTGAGGGCCCACTCCTGGGTGGACAAGTAGCACCAAGTGAGTATGGGCATTGGTGCCCAACCTGATTGAGCAGCAAGCTGAGGGGAGAAGCTAGGCCATGGGAGAGAGCCATGCTTCTGAAGTGTGCAAAGTGTAGTTCAATGCATGGTAGCCAAAATGATCAGGACAATCCAATGGCCTGGGAAGGATCAGACCCCAGGGGCTTGGGGGCTGAATGCCTCGCCACTTCCCATAGCCCTGTCTCATCTCGGCACCCAAGCCTGGCCTGAGCAGTCCAGTGCTGCTACTGCTGCTAACAGAGGTCTCCAGGGCAGCAGGTGCCAAGGTCCCCTGGGGAAACCTTGCCTGGGTTACCTGAGCTCCAAACAGAAGAGGGCAACTCACCTGAGACCCAGCTGTCACAAAGTCATCCTCCTCCTCCTCCTCCTCATCATCATCCTCCTCTTCTTCCTCCTCCAGGTCCTCATCCCTAGGAGTGGCTGGAAGCCGGGAGGCCTGCAGGGCTGAGGGAAAGCTCTCTTAGGAGCCAGCTGCCCTTCAGCACTTAATCTAGCTGCCTCTGCCCAGCTGGCAAAGAGGGTCAGGAGCCTCAGCCACTCTCTCATCTCCAAAGCAGGCCTTATAGCCTAGCTCCACTCCCTCAGCCCATCCCCACTCACACCCTCTTCCCCTCTCCCTGAGGGTGGGCTCCTTTTTCTTACCCTTTTCTTGAGGCATTGGAGACTTGGCATCAGCACCATGGCTAAGTTGCTCCTGGGTCCCCACTGCAGGACTCTGCTCCTCTGCCAGGACCTCTTCCACATCATCCTCCTCTTCCACATCTGCCCCCACCTCCACTACCTCCTCTACCTGTGCCACCTCCTCCTCCTCTTCCACGACTATCTCTTCCTCTTTCCCCCTTTCTTCTTCTTCCTCTTCCTGATCAGCATCACATTCAGACCCATCTTCAACCCTCTCCAGCTGGGCAGCCGGGGAGTCTGGTGTCTTGTGAAGAGCTGCCATTCTCCCTGGGAGAGAGCCTCCACTGGGCCTGGAACAGGTAGGCACAGCTTGAGAGGCTGCTCACAGCACCCCTGCCTTTGATGGGGCAAGATATACTTTCCCAGTGATGTACTTGAAATCAAGAGATGAGGGAAGATCCAGCTCTTCCCACAAACCTATGCTGAATAGCTGAGACATTCTGTACCCAGAAAGGTGACCCAAAGAGCCCCTTCCCATGGGCCTCTGGGACATGGGTCTCAGCTCTCTCTCACCAGCAACCACATACCCAGTGCATTACTCTCTCTTGGAATAAATTAGGCATTTTCCCAGAATGTTTATCCCTAAGGACCACAAGAGCACTAAGTCAGGGTAACACAACCCAAGGAACGGTCCACAATTAGCTGAAAGGGATGAGGACAGCCTACAAGAAAAATGGGGGACTCTGGCCCCCACCTAATGCACAGAACAAAAAGCAGCTTACCCAGTCCTCTACATGAAGCAGGCTGGCAGAACGTGAGGAGAAATCTAGGAGAGGCCAGGCTTCATTTACTTGCAAGGCACGATGGAGTGGGGAGGGGTGGTGCAGCCACTGGTAAGGCAGGCACTGAGAAGCCAGTGGGTCAGGCTTCTTCCTACGGGATGGGGAGAGCAGGTGTCACCCTGTCTTCCCTCTCCCCTCACTCTGTGCAGTACATCAGGGAGACTTGGCTCCTTGCTGGACCAGCACATATGATGGAACACGCCCTATGATGTTTCTTCATGTGTGGGGACTTGACTCCTGAAGGCTGAAGTGCCAAAGTCCAGGGACTTCAGGGTCCTACCCTCCCACCAACGTCACAAACGGCTCTGAGCCTAGGTCCTCAGAGGAGACACAGCCATGCTGCCACCTGGTCTGGAGCCCAGGGCCCTGGGCACAGCTGAATGTGAGGCTGTTCATGTCCCTCACCAGCCCCCATGGTGTCCCAAGGGCAGGGTTTAACCGTGGTTTCTAATAAGTCAGTTTCTGTGGCTCCTCTCAGGGTATACATCTTAGAATGACCCACATCATCAGTGTCACAAACCCAAACAGGGCCATTTCCAGTGAAAGCCGCGTCCATCCCAGAATCCTGGGGATAAAGGCAGAAACCCCAAGAGGATCCTGAAATGTCAGATGACACAGCTACAATGAGCAATGGGGCCCACTCAGCTCACCCACTCTATGAGCAGACAGCATCAGCCACCTAAAGCAAGACAGGGTGTCCTTCATGAGAACAGTTCAGACCACCTGGCCTGGTGTTCTCAGGAACACATGGGAGAAAACTGCTTAGTGATGAGCTCTCCAAAACCCATCATTTTCCTATTAATAAGGCAGATGTTCATTTTCTCAGCTGCTTTTAGCAGCTGCTTTGAAGTTCACATGGTTATAGCCAGGCAACTCCAAGTATCCACACAGGCCCATCCAAGTCCAGGGGCTGCGACATGCTGGCATCCAGAAGCCTCCTCTGTCTTTAATGTCACGCTGTCCCAATCACCACATGATACCCCCTCCCTGACTCTGGCCCCCATCAGAATCACTGGCCCCAAAGTCTCAGGTCACAGAGCTATGCCCACATGGCCACTCAGCCTCCAGCCTCTCCCAGAAGTCTCCACAGTCTCTGGTGCGTGGAAATGCCCAAAGTGTAGGAATACATATGCCATATGTTACCGCCACCTCCAGGAGGACTTGGCCCTGCCAGTACTCGGAGCACTAAGAACTCTGAGCAGCAATTTCCCAACCACCACCCACCTGAGGCCCAGAGTTAGGCCTTTCCTCAGCCAGGCCTCAGGCTGCAAATTCAGGCTGAGCCCAGAAACCCTGCCAAGCAAAGCAGAGCTGTCTCCTGCCTGGCCACTTCATATTCCCACAGGCTAGGCTACCATATGTGAGAACCCAACAAAAGAAGAAAGTTTCATGCCTTTGGAATAAAGTGGCCCCATCTTCATCCCACCTCAGGACCTTTGCGTATGCAAATAACTCTTTTCCTCTCTTCTTCAGTGACCTCCTGGAGGCAGCCCCCTGAGTCCCTGTTACACATGATTCTCTGTATCCTTACCACGCTGCACCCATGACATATTTTTCCCCCCAGAGACAGAGTCTCATTCAGTCTCCCTGGGTTTGAGTGCCATGGCATCACAGCTCACTGCAAACTCAAACCCAGGCTCAAGTGTTTCTCCTGCTTCACCCTCCCAATTAGCTGGGACTACAGGTACCTGTCACAATGCCCAGCTATTTTTTAGAAATGGGGTCTCGCTCTTGCTCAGGTGACCCATTACATTTTTTAAATATACTTATAGAACTGTCTTATCAACTGAGTACAGTCAAACCCAGGACAACACTTATCAAAGAAATAACTGTAAAGCCTATAGTCAATGTGACAGACATGGAATTTCTAAAACTCAGCATTTTAGTCCTACTGTTGTGTTCCAGAACAGTCTGACCACTGCTGGAGGGGTTCTTCGAACTGGAATTCACCCTAGAAGCAGTGGAGAGTCTGTGCCTCCAAAGAGAACACAGAATAAAGTCCCTTCTCCCAAGAAGTCCACCCACCAATGACGAGAGATAGGGGAGGACAGTCCTGCAAAGAGCAGCAGTCCCCTACTAGACAGCCCAGTGCCAAGCACAGACATTTCATGTGCCCCAATCCAAGGTCCAGAACAGAATATTCTGAAAAATGGACCTCAGAGGGCACGTTCAAGTTTAAATTCCTACAACTCAGACCCTGTGTTCTCTGCCAGCCCCAGACCCACAAACTCTCCCTTCTCTTTCCAGCTTGTCAACCCACTGGAAACTTACTTTGCTCACTCCTCCCTTGGCATCCGATTCCAGGTCAGAAGCCACAGGGGGTCAGGTTAAGCAGCCTCATCAACATAAATCCCTGGGCCATTCCAGACTTTCATTTCCACTGGGGCTTTGCATCCTAGGATGCGGTGCTGCAGACATTTAGAACTGAAGGTGACAAGACAGCTTCCAAGAAGAGAAAGGAGGGAAACAAGGACAGAAAGAAGTAGCAAAGCTTGAAAACTGTTAGAAATGCTCCACGACAGTCCCGACCCCAGGGAAACCCACCTAGGGGAGTAAGAAATGTGTGGGTTCACTTGTACCTAGTCCCCTTCTTTCCTTCTGGGTAGCTCACTGACCTCAAGCCCCTTCAAGGCTTCAAGTCCTCCAAAAAGACTTCCTTTCCTGACCACTAAGATCTTCACTGTTTATCCACAGACTTTGAATCCCCCTCTCTCCTGGGTCTGCTCCTAGAGCAGGTGTATCCAGGGGAGCCATCCCAGATCCCAGAGGGCAGCCCCCTCACCACTCTGGACAACTCCACAGACCTGCCAACACTTGTTGAACCAAATCAAATCCCAAAGTCTCCTTACACAGGTAGAGCTAGGAACTTGCACCTCCCCTGCCCCCTGCCCTCTAACCTCTACCCCTCAGGTCATGACCAAAGGCCAGCCTCCTTCTACCTCAGCTACCACGTGGGGCAACCCAGACCCCATCTAACACTAGCAAAGGGTTTCCCTACCCACCTACCAGCCACAGAAGTCAGCAGAGCAGCCCACAGGGGCTCTATCTGCAGATGAGGAAAGGTTCAAACAAGGCCCCTCCAAGGTCACAAAGCAGGCTCTTGTGGGCAACAGCCAAGCCACCTCCCTGCCCCCAGGGGGCTTACTGGGCCACCACCTCCTGTAGAGACTGACGCGGTGACAGCCCCTCATGGATGGGTGTGTCGCCAGGGATGGCGAGGCCAGACCCTACCCCTGCAGCGGAGGAGGCATCGGCCACCTCCTAAAGTATTGCGCGTATGCTCTGCAGCCCGCCCACTGGCGTTGCCTGCCTGGACTGGCTCAAGGGGTCAGAGCCCGCTCTCAGCGCGCAGGCTCGGGCTGGGGTCCATCGGCGGCGTGGCGCTGAGGAGCTCCCACCGAAGGCCAGACCCTCGCGCGGCTCCGGCCGCCCAAGGCCCAGGCCCCGATGAGCGCCACGGCCTCCCCG